CCAAGACAGTTGGACATTTGCCACATGTCACCATACTCATTTCCAAGTGCCATAGCTTGAAACAAGAAGTCAAATCTGATATTGGCTGGAGCTTTATTTTATATGGACATGGTAAATGGCAAACTAGATGGTCAGAATGTAATAATAATAATCACAGCTTTACTCCACCCACCCCACTATGAAGTAAAAGGCTGTTTATAAGGCCATGTATGATGGTTTCATGTTTCTTATGGAAAACAATTTTAATTATAAACTTTTATGCTCCTCTACCCAACCATGGGGGACCATCACACTAAACAACAGGTGTCACTATTACTAAGAAAAATGTACTTTTTTTCATTAAAATTACTGATATATATATATATATATATATATATATATATATCCTGATGTACCTTATTTACTTATGTCAGTGACACACATGGCACTACGTCATTGCTTGACCATTGTATTGAGTTACGTCGCTATTCAGTAATACTACGAAGTATCTCATTACATCCCTATTGTATTCTGTATATATATAAATGTAATAACTAATCTACACTGGACTGAATGGACCCATGATCTGCGCAAATGGTTGGCGTTCAAGTTTTAAGACATAAAAATACTATCAACCCCACTAACATCAATGAAAATGTTAATTTCAGTTAGAATATAGTTAGAATTTCTGCACAGACTGTAGGCAAATAGACTCATATATTAAGAAAACTTATATCCGCATACTGTAGACAAAGTCCAAAAATACGGTTGTCATCGCACTGTTTCGTATTAACTCGGAAGTTGTTTGTGACCAAATTCCTGTATAGGAATGAGACATCTTCAAACTGCCTACCCACCAATAAGGTTGTAGAATTAATTCATGAAGCGTAGAAATATGCAGAAGTGTTTGACAGCGTTGATAATACAGAGCTGTAAGGCCAATTCTCCTGCAGTGATTACATTATAACGATGTCATGATTTTCACATAAAAATCTCATAGCGCCAATAGATGACTTGATGCCCCGGTATTTATATGGACGATGCGTCAAACTGGCCTAAGTGATGCGACTAGTAAGTTTACATTAATGACAAAGGTAAATACTATAATATTTGCATAACTGCAACTGAGATATTAATTTGTCATATCGGATACTTATAATAATAATTTTATTGGATTTTATCGAGGGAGGAAAAAACTTGTTATATATAGCTTATGAATGACATTCAAGTTACGTTACACATTTAGATTATGTCACGGTGTGTAATGATTTACTCATTACCATATTTTAGTCGGAATTTCGGGTAAGAGACTCCTTGATTCTATACCATGTACATCCGTAAATAAGTGAGTATGTGAAAATTTCTTCTTCGAAAAAAATAAGACATTAAATAGTACTATATATTTGGAGACAGAATTAATGTGCGTATTGTTTACGTGTTGGAATTAGCACACATTAGGTTACATTAAGATGTTCCTGTTTCACCGCAATGATATGGAGTCTATAGTTGACGAACTCGGTGACTATTGTTATTTTGACCCTTCTGATGTTAAAGCAGACATGTGTCCCCCCGATGTTTGTTTTTTATATATTTTTGTGCGTTTTTTATGTGTTGCCTGTTAAAATATGTAGCTTAGATACCGTAAACCCTGCGGCTGATGGGGAGACATGCCATAGCATTAAGCTAGGCGATTAGGTACCGTACACGAGAGTCGGTTCTAGTTCACTCACGCGGAACATCTTTACATCTTTTGTCGAATTTCAACATTTTGTACAGCCAATGTCTGCCAAGTGGAAAATGTGCCTTGACGTCAAGCTAGGCGATTAGATGTTTCGAGTCACTCGCGCAATAAATGTTGACTTTGATTAGATAGTAATTACCCGCCGTGTACTTGGTGTTATTTACTTGCTATATAAAATGAATGTTTATAGCTGTCAAAGCTAACTGCAAGACAAATTTCGCATACAAAATGACAACGATTGTGCGTTTGAGTACGTCTGGTATTTTGGTCATAGGACTGCCATGTCGAACTGCGAGCACTCATTAACTCAGAAATATTTATATATACTTGTATTTGCTGTTCATTTACCATGTGTCATTGTACTGCTGGGTTACAAGTGTTCATGTTGCCAAGGTCGGTGCTCTACTGCAAGTGAAGTCTACTACTCTAACTGCCAGTAAAAATCGGGAAATCAACTACTCTACTTTTGGGAAAATAAACTACTCTACTACTGGTGAAGTCAACTATTCGACTACGAAGGGAGTCAACCTACCATCGTCCGATTCACACACATGCGTGGTCTATGTTACATTGACGAATATTATTAGGCGTTTCTGTAAAAATGACTTGCATCAATTACAAATTTAAACTAACAGATTAACTAACAAAACACGCGACTGCCCGTTAAAGTGAGCTAAACTATTTCCATTAACGCCAGTTACTCTACTGTCGGAAAAGTCTACTCTATTACTAATGAAATTAACTACTAACTATTATCGAAAAAATCAGCTAATCTACTATCACCAATTGCTATACTACCGGGATTGTCAGGTTACTCTTCTACCTCAACGCCAACTACTCTAATACTGGAAAACCTTGATACTCTACTGAAAGGAAATGCAACTTATCAACCATCATTACTACTCTAATACCATTAAATTTGAATTATGTCAACTACTCGCCTACCAAGAACTTTAAATATCTAAAACCAAGAAGGTCAAGTACTCTACTACTAGAAAAGTCAACTAACTACTATCTAGGAAGCCAACTACTCTACTACCGTGAAAGTCAACTACTCTACTACCAAGAATGACAACTACTCTATTACCGAGAATGTCAACTACTCTACTACCAAGAAAGTCAACTATTCTACTACCAAGAAAGTCAACTACTCTACTACCAAGAATGTCAACTACGCTACTAGAAAGAAAGTCAGTTACTCTACTACCAAGAAAGTCAATTACTCTACTACCAAGAATGTAAACTACTCTAGTACAAGAAAGTCAACTACACTACTACCAAGAGTGTCAATTACTCTACTACCAAGAAAGTCAACTACTCTTCTAACAAGAACGTCAACTACTCTACTACCAAGAATGTCAACTACACTACTACCAAGAACGTCAACTACTCTACTACCAAGAATGTCAACTACTCTACTACGAAAAAAGTAAACTACTCTACTACCAAGAATGTCAACTACTCTACTACAAAGAAAGTCAGTTACTCTACTACAAAGAAAGTCAATTATTCTACTACCAAGAATGTCAACGACTCTACTACAAGAAAGTCAACTACTCTACTACCAAGAATGTCAACTACTCTACTACAAGAAAGTCAGTTACTCTACTACCAAGAAAGTCA